CCTCGCTTCTATGGGCTACAGTCGCCGAAAAGCATGGGCGAAGAACGGTTCTCTTTGTCTCGTTGTTGGGAATGGCGCTGACTTGTACATTGTTCGGAACTTCGAGGACGTATAGTGAGGCCGTTGTGATTCGGTTATTGCAAGGTGTTTTTGCTGGGGCTGTGGGCGTTGGTCGAGGTAGCGTCGCCAGTGTGACAGACCCAACGAACGAAGGTCGGGCCTATGCAATCATGGGATTCTCCTGGGGACTAGGTGGTGTGGTTGGTGCCATTATTGGTGGTGTTTGTAAGTGTGAGCAATCGTCTATCCGCATAAAACTGACCGATTCCAGTCGAATCTCCTGCCAAAAACTATCCTGAGCTATTCGGCAAGGTTCAGCTATTCATCGATTATCCGTACCTTCTTCCTTGTGCGGTGGCATCATCTATAACTCTAACCGGAGCGCTCTTATCCCTCGCACTTGGACGGGATGGCAGCTCGCGCGGTGGCGCGATTTACCTCTCACCTGATAAAGAGCACAGTCCTTTGCCACTCTCGACGGTTGACGAGGAACCTCCATCACCATCTCCTCTACCTGAAGGGCTCGTATCCCAACTCAAACGCAAAGCTTCACGCCGATTCAGTGATGCCCTTTCTAGGCGTCTATTTGAAAATTCCCCAAGGTCGGGTGTATCTGTGCTCAGTCCTCTTACACCAGTCATTCCTCCCACTAAACAGCGAACAATGTCACGAACGTCCAAAGTAAATGGTTCTGCCTATGGATATTCCAGCAGTAGAGTTGGCTCAATGTCAGGAGCCAGAAGGCCAAGTTTTGCTTCCACCCTCAGGTATCGGAGATATACAAACACTTCTCAACAACAAAGGCCCGAGACTCCTTCGTCCTTTGCTCAGAGGCTTCTTTTGGGTGTGTACTCTGAATGCATCTTGATCCGTACTAAAGGCATTTGTAGCCAACGAGATGAACGCGACATCTCTTGCTGATCTCTGGGTACAAGCGGCTATCAACGTGGATAACGAAGAGGTGTTCGAGACAGATTCAGAGTCGGGTGCTTCTGATCATGAAGAGGGGACATCCAATGCCCCGGCGCCTTCTACGAGCCGCCGTAATACTGGTACGGGGGCACATAGGCCCTCCATAGGAAGTAACACATCTAGGCCGGGTGCTGGCCTTCGTCGTCTCGGGATCATGGAGCCAGCCGGAGTCCGAAGGCCTTCCACGGGATCATTCGTTCCAGCGATTTTCAGCCACACTGGTGTTCGCACCCCACCGAATATTGTACCTACGCCGACTCCGGGCCACCAGACACCAGATCACCATCGCGTAGACATGGCTTCGCTTTCCACTATCGCCGAAAGTCGACCTACTTCTGACCTTATAGAGGAAAAACCACCGTCGACGTGGAGGATGCTCCCGCTCTTGATCATTTTCCAGTATGGCTTGCTTGCGTTGCACGGTACGACTCACGACCAGATTTTCTATCTCTACCTCGTCTCGTAAGTGTTTTGAGCGTGATAGATTGAGGCTTATCGTTTGATAGGAATTACTCTACGGGTGGCTTGGAGCTCACACCCGGTCACTTTGCTCAACTGAGTGAGTGAAAAGATGACGTTATATTCTTTCTAACAATGTCTAGTTGCAATGATGTGCCTTGTACAAATCCTGTTCCAATTCTACTTTTATCCGTACGTGATATTCCAAACCCCCGACGATTGCTAACCTCTCGACAGGAACATTGGGTTTGTCCAGCCGATTCTCTCGAGATTTAACTCATGTTCTATAGGCCTCCGCGTGGAAAGTTTTCGCATATCGCAATGTTCCGGATCGGGTCGTGTCTGTTCATCCCAGCGTATTTATCCGTGGTCATGTACCGCTCGTTCGCCACTGAAGGGCCTGGTAACAACTTTTTCGTGATGTCAGGTATGATGATTACCTTGTGCTAGACTAGATTGCTAAACGGTTGATAGCTCTGTTCGTCAGCACGGCTGTACGATTCTGCGCAAACACTTTTACATATACGTCGGTCTCTATCCTCCTCAACTATAGTGCGTACTTTTTACACGGATTGAACTCGTACTCATGTTCAACAGTGAGCCCTCCTCCGATCGTGGGCTTGGCCAATGGGTTGGCCCAGAGCATTGTCTCGCTCGCCCGTTTCTTTGGTCCTGTAAGTGGTCTCGGGTGCGTTAGACATGAACTAACATTTCATCAGATCATTGGTGGTTATGTAGGTTGATATTATAAAACGATACTCGATACTGACACGCTCTAGCTATGGTCTTCAAGTGTGCAAGACAATCCTTCGGGCTATGGGTTTGGTTTCTATGTCTGCACTGTCGTCTGTGCATTTGCAATTTTGCAGTCTTTCATGATCCGGTAAAAAGCATACGGAACGATGTTGTTCCACAGCATAGGGTGGATACACGAAATAGGGGAAAGAAATCATGCTGTCCAACACACAAGTCTCGAAATCTACTGTTGTAGTATTTGTAACCGTGTACGATAACAATACAATGCAAAGGATTCGCTCTCATCTAGTCTGCCTGAGGCACTGTAGACGGACCAGGCTCGGATTGCTCGCTCTCTTGAACGACTTTTTGCGTCTCCATAACGAGAATCGACCTGGTCTGCTCCAAAGCCAACCCGAGCAAATTCAAGCCCCACCGTTTCTCTCCATCCGACTTTAGACTCTCGGAAGCGCGTTTCGCATCCAACCCAATCCCCCAAATCTTGTCCATCGGACTCGCCTCTACAATCTTTTTCTGCCCGGTCTCCAACAGCTTGGTTCCCAAACCAGGGTTTTGTCGAAACTTGAGGATATTACCCGCGAGCACGATATCATCACGGTGTCTATGCCACACACCATCCGAGAACCCCTTGACTTGTCTACCCATATCTTTAACTATTTTTGGGTTGGTGGTGGTGAGGAGACGGTGAGCGACGGCTTCGTTGGTCGATTTTATCTTGTGGTCGGTAGAGTGGGTGTGTGCAAAGAGCATTGCTTTATGGAACATCATGAAATGTTCTGCGGTCATAAATGGGATCCAATCTTCTTGTTCAGTTTGACTCGTGTGGGTTGATGCAGATGGTTCGGTGGTGTCGATTGTGGTGGTGGCGATGGTAGCGGTCGTAGAGAGTGGAGTGGACGGTTCGGATGTGATTGATGTGGATGGTTCGGATGGAACGGTTGTGCTACCAGTTAGCTTTTGCTTTTCGGTTGCGACGAATGTTTGGAGGCCTTCGAATGTAGAGGGACCTTTGAATTTGCTCCTGTACCATTGAGAAGCCCAGCCGTGTTCTTGATCGATCTGCAAAGACGATTAATCTGGTGGGGTGGTGAAGGAGAGCTATATGCTCACCTTCCAGAAGAACACATAGTCGCTTGGGGATCGAGGCATGGTGGATAGCAGTCGTTTCAAGATAACACGCTCCAGGGTGGTAGAGTACAAGATGTTACAGTATCAAAAGTTCGACTCGTCGTGGTAATGTCGAGATGAGTCGAGTGATTCGGGCCCGCGTCGGGATGACCGGAATTGGATAGGATGTGATTCGTAGCAGTTAGGCGTCGACAGTAATCCAGGTGTTGACTAGATGGTCATGTCGATGACTGGTGATGGTTGGAGACAAGTCTCGAGTGGTCTAGTGGAGATCAAGAGCACGCTAGATAGAGTGGTGTGGGGCTAGTGCGATGCGAGTCGAGTTGAGACTGGGAGAATGGCTGCAGTGTCCAGTAATAATTATCATGATAGCCCTTGTGAATAATCGTCGGCGTAACCCTCGCCATGCCGTTACGGGGAGGCAACAATTCCCATAATTTTGGGGAAATCAACGAGGATGAGCATGGTAAACTCATGTCGATCACCCATTCGGACCGTCCCCAACGGTCATCCACGCCGCAGTCAGCCAGCGCTGAATGGAGTCGAGTTCCCTCAACATCTACCGCTCATCTTCCCTGGCGATCCGCTGTCGTTTGCCATCCTTTTTGCGAGCAATCTCCATCCAGTTATCTGCAACTTGCCAATCCGAGCATTGCCAAAACAGGGCAGAGGGAGACAAGACTTGCCTAATCGGGGTGAATGAATAGGGGTGCTGCTTGCTTTGTCACATGCACGCGGCCACCCCTCCCGGGAGTGGGGTCCAGCCAATCCTCGCTTGAGCTCTTCTCAAGGCTGATCTGCCCACTTGTCCCCCACCCACGTCTAGCCAGACCACTGTCCCATTCGTTACGACCGCACCGCGCATCTTCAACAACTCTGTAGCAACGTCAACTGTAGCCACACCAACTGTGACGATACTTGTCTGTGTTGGCTGTATAGCCAACCAGCAGAACTACTCAACATTATCATGTCCATCTTCAAACCAACAAGGAATGCAGACTTTTTGAGGAGCAGGACACTCTTTTTTGGTGCGTCGTTTCTCTTTTTACATGCCTTCTCACGTCTGCTAATGGGTCGTTGAAAAAAGTCGTCGTGCTCGTCCTTCATCTCATTTGGTCCATCGTCGCCATTCTCGACGTATCCTCTCGAGACACTCAACGTACTCCTTCACATGGTGCGCATCCACAACTCACAACATGCTCTTTTGGGGTAATGGCTAACATTGTCACAGTCTCCGTTGCGGCGTACAACTTGGCCACGCAAATCATTTGCTTTTGCACAATCTCCCTCATCGCATACTATGACACTCGCAACATCAACATGAACGCAAACGCCTCCCGCGCCTGGCTCTCCCACACCTTTTTCGAGATTGCCGTCTACATCCTTCTCACCATTCTCCAACTCGGTGCGTCTCCTTTCCCTTGCCCCCCCTTTTTTTTTTTTCTTTGCCTTTTGCTCCGTCTGCTGCCGTTTTCGTCCCTTGTACTCGACAGTGGCCTCGTGTTGGCTACTTTAATTGATTGTCGCTGTCATATTGGCCATGTCGCTTATTAGCCTCCCTTCTCCCCGTGTCCTGCCGTCGTTCGATATCCTGACTTGATTCCAGCCGGCGCACTCGCCTACTCTGCCCTCAGCCCTACCTTTAGATGTGGAGAAGGTGAACATATTTTTTTTTTTGTTATTTTTAAAATATTGACGTGTTTTAGATGGAGGCTCGGGCTGTACATCTGCCTTTCGCGCCGTTCTCGTCGGTTGCTGGACCATCACCATCATCTGTACGAACAAACTGTCCAACCCGACACAATTCCTAACAATTATATTCTAGACTTTGCGTTCACGTCTTGGTTTACAACCTCGGTGGTGTTGGTGGCTCGTCGCGATCCGGCCGTGTGGTCGAGTAGGTCCAAGACGTACGACTGGGAAGCTGCCTATGGAAAACCGCCCAGTTTGCTTGATGAGAATGGGGATGGGAGACGAAGAGGGGCGGGGTCACCGTTAGAAGTCGTTCTCGGCCCGCCTTCAGAAAAGGGTACCAACAAGAGCGGTGATGGCAAGAAACAGGGAAATATGACGGCGAGTACGCCTGGTGGACACCAGTTTATCATGTTTCCCTTTCCCTCGGCGTCCTCTTCGTCCAACCAGAACTCGGCCAATAGTCAACAACAACAACAACAACAGCACCCGCAGCGGCCTGAAGCCAAGAGGAGCAAGACGTGGAATGATTATTTCCCGACGAGGTGGACGGGGCCAAGGCCTCGTCTTGAATCCACCCCACATTTGCCGATTCAGAACTTGCCACCGCCTACACCCTTTGACGCCATCCCGCCCGTGCCCGCACTTCCCACCGAGCCCGTACCCGCGCTCACCAAACAACATATGCACAGTAGCAGCAAGGGCAGTATCGGGAATGGAAGCGAGATGAGGGTGAACGTCACGTCTACCCCCATCATGGAGCACGATCAAGAGCACGAGCATGAACGCGAGAGTGAGCGCGAGCGGTATTTTGAGCAAGATTTGCAAAGGCAGATGCAACAGTCGCCCGTTGCGCATTCGGCTTCGTCTCATCAGAGCCATCACAGTCGTGACCGTACTCCAAGGCGCGAACTCAACCGGACTCCTACTCGCGACCGCACGCCTACGCACGACCGCGCCAACCCTTTGCCCGTCAAAGAACTCGACATGAACCAAATGCCCGTTTCCCCCCTCGACCCACACCTCAACGCCCAACCCAAAGGTGTGCCCGAGGATATCAGTTTGTCTGGCACGCCGTATAGTGGGTTTAGACCGCTCTCGATCGTGCAATCGTTGTGGAGTCATAGGAGGTCGCAGACGTATCCTCAGGCTGGCCAAGAACATGGGTATGGTCAGTTTTTCCATCATCATAGGCCACCACCGCCTGTGCCCCCTATTCCCGAGCAGTACCGCCAGCAAGCGCAGCAGTCCACGTCGCAAGCACCGGTGGTGAATGGGCAAAAGGATGGACGTAAAGGCATCTTGTCGATTAAACCGCTCAAGCTTGGACGTGGCCGTGTGTCTGTGGACAAGACGATGATTGGGATGCCAAAAGCGATCACGTTGACGGTGAATGGACCTGCGATTGATGGGGGTTCGTCGGTGGATGAGGATGATGAAGAGGAGGAGGAAGGGGAAGATGCGTATGTTGGGATGACGATGACGGCTGCGGAGGCTACCTTTAATAATTGGTGGAGCCCTGAACAGTCGTTTGCTAATCCTTCTTCGCCAATGTTGCCCATCAGTGTGCGCAGTCATTCGAGGGGGATGAGTTTGGATTCTGGCATCAACAATAATCATCATGGTGGTGGTGGTGCGAGTGCTGTGGTTACGAGTCCTCATACGAGTTATTCGGCGAGCAAGTATTCGAGTGGGCTCAAGAGTATTGGGTTGGGAGCTAATGGCCGGTTCTCCGTCGATGAAATGGGACGGTTGCCTTCCCTTCCTCCTCGTTCCCCGCTTGGTGGTGTGCTTGAAGAAGAGAGGAGTGCGACGCCGAGTGTTCAAGGCAGTCGCAAAGCCGACGAGATCAACATCCGTCCTCCACCCGGTGCAAGTAGCGCCAAGGGCAGTAGTAATCGTCACGACCCAAAAGATACAAAGGGACGAGGAGCCGAGTTTGACCCCAATTATCTCTTCCCCGTTGCCAACACGATCTCGTCGGTTGCTTCCCGGTCATCGAGGTACTCGACGGGTGGAATGACGATCCCGCCTACCCCACCACCCAAGGACAACTGGCGTCTCCCGCCCGTCGATCTCGATTTACATCCGGTCCCGGTCCCGGTTCCTGTAACTGTTCCTGTGACGGTTGCGTCGCAGCAGCAGCCACCGCCGACGAGTTACTACCATGCCAGCACGCTCCCCACCGATTTGTCGAGGTACAATCAGCAATCGCAGCTCTCCCGTGAACCGTCCCAGTCCCGATCACATTCGTCTTCTCCCAAGCGCACGCAGACGCCGCATCAGCAATCCCCACTTTCGCGTGAGCCGTCCCAGTCGCACTCGTCGTCTTCCAAGCAGACGCAGAAGCAGTCACAGCAGCCACAGCAGCAACGATCGACACCGCCTCTTGTGAGGTCGTATAGTGCTCGTACGCAGCAAACTTATGGTGATAGCAGTGGTGGAGAACAGCGAAGAGTTCGAAGTCCAACTGGATACATTTAACGCCCTCTACCAGCTCACCCTCACCGAATATCGTGTTTTTTTTTCCCCGGACCTAATGCTTTCTATTGGGCAGTGCGCCTAGTTACCAACTCTTCGCCTACATACTGTATCTTAACGATCCCCGTCTCGACTCGAAACGACTACCACTGGCACATAGATTCTCGAGGACAATTTACTTCAACACCCTTGCCCTAGGCAGGACAAACTCTTTTTTCCAAACGCCATTTTTAACTACCTAAACGAAATCCAACACGCAAGATTAAACGCTCTTTGACGTTTTTATTGGACGATCTTTATCGCGAGGCCTTTTTGACGACCCAACGATTTGGAATTCCCGCGGGAATTCGCTACGAGATCGGAAACCTTTTTATCACTGGATCAAGTCCAACAAGAAATTACCACCACCGCGCGCGCCGTTTTCTTTCCGATAGCTTCGTTCAACGCCTTTTTACACGAACACTTCAACTTTTTCACCATTCCGACTCGACTTTTCGACTTTTTGAATGGCTACTGTATCACTAGACGACAATAACTCGGCCGCACCACCACCACTCTCCTCTCCCACCCTTCTCCCTCTTGTTCAGGTCGTACTTTTGTCCGAAATAATAAACTCCCTCGAGGGAGAAACGAATGACGTTGGATGATCATGATCTTGAGGGATTGGGGACGGACAATGGGGATTGGGAAGGCCCGCCGGTTCACTTATTAGACGGAATCAAAGGCTTTTTAAATGGTCTATTTAGATGGGTTGAAGGGGAGAAGGCTGGTCGATGAAACTCGACCGTGGTTGGAAGAGTATTCGTACGTCTTTTTTGGCACGCTTTTGTGTGTCATTGGAAGTGCGTTTCCTCTTTCACCGTTATATCACCTTGCTCCCCTCTCACTCGCCCCCCTCCCTTTTTGTATTATCGACGCTGCGCCCTTACCCTCCTTGCGTTCTTACCACACGGATCAAACGCCTTGTGCCCTATTTCTTCTCTGGATTTCTCTTCCTCTCACAGTCTCGATGTTGTCGTGTCTCTCTGTCTTAATCTCCCTTTGTCTGTGTCTCCATTTTCTTTTACCCGGTAATGACGATGCTGTCATACTCCTTTTTTCCATACATATTCTACGAGAGAAAACCCCAGTATAGCCAAAGTGAAATACAAGATGGTTTAGAAGTCCAGTCGTCTCGAGTTTTTCCTTTTTAAGCGAACCAAGTCTAAAAAGCAAGCAAACGGAGAGAGAATAAAAGGTGAAAGGATTGACTTGTCGTGTGTCTGTGCGTGCTTTGTGGGCATGCAGTCTGCGCGCGCATTGTGAGCACCTCTGCTGCAGCTCTACAGCTGCACGTCCCAAGGCTCCCTCCCCCCATCTATATATTTCGCTCTGCTGAGGTAGTACAGCAGCTGTACTCACTCTTCTTTCACAACCCTGCTCTTGCCAGCTCCGCTCTAGCAAATCCATTCCATCTCTGTGATCCTAAAAGAGGTTGGGCGCTTCTCTCAGTCTGTTGTTATATAGTGGACCTCGCCACTATTGGCCATTTCAGCACGATAACTCGCCATCTGACGGCTTCCCCGCGGTATTTTTTTTTTGTAGGAATAACACGTTTACCATGTCTTCTGCTTCTGGAATCGGTGCGGCACCAGAGCTCGTCGAGTGTTTTGCTCAGGCGGTCACTCAGAACGATCTCAGAGTGATCAAGGTGTCCATCAAAAACGGTGCGCACGGGTGTATTCTATCATTCACGATCAATGACTTATACATTTGGGTTTGCTTTACTGCTGCATGTGCGCTCGTTTTGAACACCGTCTCGACCGTTCGTAGAGGCGTTGGTGGAATCTGGGAAATGGAATAAACAAGGAGACTTTATGAGCGATTATGCGCATATTGTCAATTATGTCGAGGACAATGTGCCTGCCTACTTGCTCGTGCGACTCGATTCGGCTTCTGGGTCAGAGTGGCTCTCGATCAGCTATGTGCCCGATAATGCCAAAGTTAGAGACAAGGTGAGTAGAGGGAACGAGACGATTACCTTTATTGAAATGGATTCCGATGTTTTACTTGTAGATGTTGTATGCGAGCACCCAGAGTGCACTCAAGAAAGCACTCGGAGACTATCGATTCAAAGATTCCATCTTTGCCACCTCCAAGGTACACTCCAAGCATTTTTTCCGACACATTCTAAACCTGTACTAGGCCGACTTGACTACAGATGGGTATGAAGCTCATCAGAGACATGTCAACGCTCCCAAACCCCTCTCTGCGCGAGAGGAGGCGATGCAGAGCATTAGGGCGGCGGAAAAGGCCGCTGGCTTGAACAAGTATCAAGGTGCGGGTGAGAGAAGGTCTCATGCGGGTAGCGCACCCGTCGGGTTCAAGTGGACCTCGGAAGCAGAAGATGCCGTTAAAGACCTTGCGAACCGAGAGGGATGCTCCAAGTTGGTCATCTTGGTACGTGGACTCTCCATCCAAGGAGTGTGTTCTGATCTTTTCGACACTAGAGTGTGAACACTAGGGATGAATCCCTCGTCTTGAAGCAATCCTCCAGGGATGTGTCGCCGAACCAACTTGCGTCTTTCATTCCCTCCTCTGAGCCTAGTAAGTTCTCTCATCCGTCTACTATTCCAGTTGTTGACTGGCCTATTCGCAGCATATACCTTTTACTTGTGGTCCCGTCAGCGCAATGGAGAGGATCTCAATTCGATTAGTATGTGGCACCTCTCGACAATGACCATCCCTAACCTCGTTCTAGTCTTTATCTACTGCTGTCCCTCTGGATCTCCTGTCAAGCATCGCATGGTGTACTCGTCCGGAGTCGTCTCGGTGGTCAATGCAGCAAAGGGAATGGGTGTCAGTGTCGCAAAGAGGTCCGAAACTTCAGACCCAGAGGATATCAACGAGGCCTTTCTCCAACAGGAACTCAGCAATACCCCTAGCGGATCATCTACGCCCGTTTCAGGGGAGAGAGTAGCATTTGCAAAGCCCAGAGGACCTCCTCGTAGGCGCTAAGTATCTGGGGTAAATATCGTCATTGTATTCGTCACTAGTCGTAAAGTTAAGACATAAAGAGAGACTGTATCCATACACCGTGCGATCTGTTACAACATTGTCTCATCGGATCATGACTGTAATGCTCCATGAGTGAGTGCGGGTATAATTTGAATTGCTATCTTTCATAGCAAACTCTCTAATTTGCGAACCATCGTCTGCGCTAGCAAGACACCTTCATCTGATGCTACTTCTCCCACGTATTCTTCGTCCTCGGGTGAACTTCTTTCGTTGGCCTTGCTCACCACTGTCGACAGTAGACTGCTGAATTCCCGGACCACCTCCACAAGGGCGCGAGTCTTGTCCTTGGCAGAAGCTTTGCGTGGACGGAGGTAGGGTATGACTTGAGATCGAGAAGAAGAGTCATGAGTACAAAGAATGGCCAATAAAATCCCAATGTGTCCATGGAGGAAATGAGCTTGAGCTTCGGCCTCTCCCTGGTGATATATTTAATATAAATCCTTACGAGTTGCAAGCAGGACGTACACTCAAACCATTGGTAGATTGATAGAATATCTCTGTCACAGACTGGAGGGCTGGTGCAGAGTCTTTGCATTGGCAGATCTCTGCGCAGTCAACAGAACCAGGACAAGACGCTGAAAACCCTGCAGAGAACCGATATCAGTCTTTAATTTCTAGAAATTCAATGGCCTTACAGGTCTCTAGGATATGTTGTTTGGCAGAGTCGACTTGTTTCGCTAGCTGTGTGACCAGTCCTAGCGACATGCTGACCCTTTCCAGTAGATTTGGTACCTCTTCGGTTTCGGGATCTACTTCTATATCACTTTCTCTTTTCTTCTTTCCTTTTTTGGATTTCGAATGGCTTTCGGTAGTATGGAATTTCTTCTTGTACCATCGGACAAATAGCCGTAAGAGGTTATGGATCATATTTGGCTCAGAAGATAAAGACTCGCTCATCTCCACGTCGTCGCTTGTTATGGTTATTAACAGTCGAAGAGCGAGCTCCATACTCTCGTCCAGGTCTATTCCGATATCTGGTTAGTCTCGCCCATGGAAAGAGGAAATATCCGCACCATATAAACTGGGTAGTTTACTGGGCCAAAGGCCTGTATATCGAGCCAAGTTGATTACTAGGTCCTTTCGTAATTCGTCCGCATCTGGCGCGGGACTGAGTTGCTTCTGAATGTTGGTACCTTCCAACAAGCGCATGCAGTTATAAATATGCCGAAATCCTACTTTTCGGTCTGGCTTGAAATCTTCATTAGCACCAGACAATTGGGATAGTTCCTCCACAAGGGCCTTGACAGCCGATTGTGTAACGGTGCTAGGGAGTGTGTAACCGGTCTCGGAAACCTTGACGAGGCTTTCAGAGGCGAGGAGGCGATGTGAGGCTATTTGGTCTGGTAATACAACTTGGCTATCCTGAATACTTGTTCTCAACATCGCCAACTATCAAACTATGAGCGTTAGAGACAAGGAAATGAATAAATCACTGACATTGGTCATGTCCGACTTGGAAAGGCCCAGTTTGCGGGCCCACGACAACTCTGATTTGCTGAACCGCTGAGTTTTTTCGTCTCCTTCCTCTGCTTCCTCAGGGGGAGGTAGTAATATATCGTCATCGGGGGATATTTCCATAGAAGTACACAATAGCTCCACCACATCTTCCATTCGTGCAAGATCGGAAGCGTGTCGTAAACTCCTGACCGCGATGACGGCAAAGATCAGTAAAGCGGCATCCAAAACCTATGGTTCCGTCAATCAACGATCGAGGCGTCCAAAAAGAGGAAAATATACCTTGTCATCTCCACCGACTGCCTTAGCACCGCGTAGTGCTGTCCATGCCTTCCCAACAAAGTCGGCAGCAGCAGCCCTTCT